TTTTTTTTATTTTTTTTTTTTTTTTTTTTTTTTTTTTTTTTTTTTTTTTTTTTTTTTTTTTTTTTTTTTTTTTTTTTAATAACGTCTATACTAATTATGTGCTTCTTAACATGTGAGCTTCTTAACCCCTTCGCTCATAATAAGGCTTGAGCAAGGCTTTATTCAAGGGCGTCACGAGTACTGTCCCATCTAGTTCCCTTACTTTGTAGGCGCCGTTTGAAAGAATAGCATGAATATAGTACGGCCCTTTCCATTTGGGCGTCAGTTTGTTGGTACGTGTGCCCAATTTCTGGGCATCTAGCACTAATACTTTATCACCAATGTGAAAATCATCCGTGGCTTTGATTTGTAGATCATGACGCCTTTTCTGCTCTTGTTGTACCCTCTTAATTCGGCGCAGGGTATTCTCACGGGCTTCGGGCAGATTACTGTCGATCTCATACAGCCTCTGTATGATAGTATCGTTCAGTAAATCTCCAGATTCACTAGGGTGGATGGGTAATTGGGCGGTCCTACCATACACTAAGTAAAATGGTGTTTCCTGCGTCGTAGCTTGTTTCGCTGTGCGGTAGGCGAACAAAATTGGTGGGATTAGTAAGTCCCAGTCCGTCACGTTGGTGGTTAGTCTTGCTATTGCATGGCACAACGTTTTATTAAAACGTTCTACAAGCCCATTGGTTTGTGGATGATAGGGGGTGGAGCAGTGGTGCTTAGTGCTTAAAGCCGCCAATAGTTCATCTACAACATGGTTGTTGAAGTGGGAACCTTGATCGGTTAATATAATGCTAGGACATCCGTGCCTGCATATTATTTCTTCATAAATAAACTTGGCCACTTCCTGTGCATTGGCCCTGGGAATTGCGCGGGCTTCTGGCCACTTTGTCATATAGTTGGTCGCAACGACTATATATTTGTTCATACGAGGCGTTATAGGAAGTGGGCCGACTATATCAATTCCCAGTCTATGAAAGGGGGCTTTAACGGGTATCGGGTGCAATGGTTCCTTCGATTTTCTATTCCCATGAAGTTGGCAGCTTCCACATGTCTTCACGTACTCGCGTATGTCGCGGTACATTTGGGGCCAATAGTAGCATTCACGAAGTTTGTTGAATACAATATCTTTCCCGAAATGGGCTCCCGTAGGATGATCGTGGGCTAAGCCTAGTATTTGATCCATCTCTTCTTCCCGTAATACTTTGAAGGGTCTGTTGGTTTGTTTTTTATTTTTCTTGTATAATTGGCCAGTCTTTACTTGGAAGAACTGACTTTGTTTTCGTAATTGTTCTCGTTGTTGATTATCGTATGCCTGTGGGTACTGTCGGTGCTGAAGGTAGTTTATCAGCGCGGAGTATAGCTGAGGGTCCATTTTTCGTGTTTTCTTTCGGTTTATTATTCGGTTTTTCTTCGATTTCTACTTCTGCCAGGACACCGACAACCTGGACTGAATTTGGCTTTTACGTCGGATTTAAGGTTGATTGAAGCTTTAGCTTTGTTCAGTGGTTCGAGTATTAATTAACAATTAATCTTTCTAATTTCGTCAATGTTCGAGTTTCGTTATCGACTCCGTTTTGGTATCAATACCCATCTGTTATTTGCGATTATATCTTCTGTATGCGTGGTATGACTAAGTAGGTATCTGCCTTCGTGCTTTTCCTTGGGCAAAAGCCTTTTACTCGCGTCAATACTACTCTGCATGGCTTTTCTCGTGGATTTTAAGTCTTTCTTCCGCAGCTTCGAATTCTTGGTCTACACTTAGACCCTTTTATACTTCGTTGGCCTTTAATCATATCAAATTTCGTCATGTCCATTGTTCTTTCTTGCTTGATACTTTACTTCTATTTAGTTGGGTCTCTGCTAATCGTGAACTTTGTTCACGATATCACGTGATTATAATCCCCGGTTAATTTCTTATATCGATATTAATTTAGTTGACTGCTTATTAGTTCAACTTCAGCTTCTTTTCGTATACTGTCCAACAAGGTTGCTGAATATACAGAAACCAATCCTCCTTTACCGATTTCTTTAACATCTATTAAATGGAATCCATTCAACCGCATCTTCATATTTCCAGACCCTACGTTGGAATTCTTATTAACGACTGGTATTTTTCCTTTCAATTATTGGTACCAGGACACCGACAACCTGGTCAGAATTCTCGCTTAGCGTCGGATTTAACTTTGGTATTCGTTTTAGGTAGGTATTTCTTCGTGTCTTGCAAAATTATTTCGCATGGTTAGCCGGATCCAAGATTATTAATTCCATCTTTATCTATTTTGGTTAATAGCCTCGTATTTTCGGTTACCACTTGGAGGCTTCGGGTTTAGTCGCAATAGACTCATGTTTCTACCGATGGTCGAGTTCTTTTTTTTTTTAAAATCTTTTGAATAGGGCCCCACAACTCGCCCTATTCCATCCTGACCATCCCCATTCTAATGTCAGGTCTGTATCTACTTGTTCATTCTACACATTTTTTTTTTTTTTTTTTTTTTTTTTTTTTTTTTTTTAACATGGTCCTTCGACCTTAATCAGCTTTTAGGTAGGTAGTTGTTTTTGCTTACTGTGAATCATAATACTCCCAGTCAATATAGTCGTCGAATTCTTGCGGCCAATCCGAATCTTCATAGCCCGTATCTTCGTATTCCTCGTCGCTACTATCCTGGAACTCAAGTCCTTCGGTTAATTCTCCCCACTGGGGTATATCAACTAAGTAGGCTTCGTCCAAGTTAGTAGGTGGTAATTCACTTTCAATATTATTGCTATTTGTAGGCTTATTCTGATATCCATTTATAATCGACCAGGTTATTTCAATTCTGATTTCTAGGGTTAATTCGGTTAGGAGGTTTTGGTAACATCTTTTTCTTTCAATTTCATTATTGGTAAGTTCTTCTTCCCATTCATAGGTTATATATTCATCACTACTTGATATCTTATTTTCATATTCTTCTTCAATCCATTCAGTAGTATTATTCTCCCAAGGAATAATTTCCAATTCCTCATCAGAGTCTCCAAGGAAGTATTCTTGAGCAATAGCCCGGAAGACTTCGACTTCTTCTAATTCAATTTTTTGAGCCACTAGATTTTCTTGGGTAGATAAATATAGTGGTTCTTTTGCAGTTTTCTGTGTTTCTTTTTGACAATTGGCGCTTGCATCGTGTCTTTCTTGATTTCTTGGTAGTTCTTCAGTCATCCTTGACAATGCATCAGCATTGTTATGTACTCTTCCGGCCCTATGTATTATGGTATAAATATAGGGCTGGAGGCGTAAAATCCATCTGGCCCGCCTTCCTTTTAACGCGGTACTATGTAGCCATTTTAGGGCTAGGTGATCGGTAACAATGATAAAGGGTTTATACCCTAGGTAGTGGTGGAAATGCTCCACAGCCCAAACTACGGCGTAGCATTCCAATTCGGTAGCTGAGTAATTTCTTTCTGGGCGGGTGAGACTTTTACTAGCGTACGCAACGGCATACTCTTTGCCTGTTTCATCTTTTTGCGCTAGGACTGCTCCTAGTCCAACACCCGACGCGTCAGTGTAGAGATAGAAGGTCTTTTCGAAGTTGGGATATCGTAAGACCGGAGCCGTGGTCAGGTGGGTTTTCAGAGTTTCCAAGGCTTGTTCTTGCTCGCTTTCCCACTGGTAGGGGACTTTCTTTTCTAATAACTTATGTAAGGGCTTTGCTATCATGGCAAAGCCTTTAATGAATCGGCGGTAATAAGAGGCAAGGCCTATAAAGCCTCGTAACTGTCTTAGGTTGGTGGGTGGGGGGAAATTTTTGACTTTCTCCACCTTTTTTATATCGGGTTGGATACCGTTACTTCCTACTGTGTGGCCTAAGAAGTCAATGCTTTCCTTAAAAAACTCGCACTTCTCCGGGTTAAGCTTTAATCCCGATTCCCTTATTGCCGTAAAAACTTCCATGAGGTGCGTTAAGTGTTCATTGTACGTTTTAGAGTAGATGATAATATCATCTAGGTACACAGCGACGCTTTTCCCGATGAATTCTTGCAGGATGTGATTCATGGCCCGCTGAAAGGTGGCTGGTGCATTGCACAGACCAAAGGGCATAACGTTAAACGCATATACCCCTTGTCTAGTGACAAATGCGGTTTTTTCTCGGTCCTCAGGTTTCATGGGTATCTGCCAATACCCACTGGCCATATCAAGGCTGGAGAACCACTTGGACTTGTTGAACAAGTCCAGCATGTCATCAATGCGTGGCAGGGGGTATGCATCCTTTTTCGTCACGGCATTGAGTTTGCGGTAATCGACGCATAGGCGTAGTTTGCCATTTTTCTTGGGTACGATGACTACTGGCGAAGTCCACGCGGCCTTTAGCTCATAGATAAGCCCATTTTGTAACATCTTCTTTATTTCCTTGTCCAGGAAGTCTTGTGCATCTGGAGAGATTCGGTATGCCGATTGTCTAATCGGCTTAGCTTCCCCGGTATCGATTTCATGTTGGGTCTCGACTGCATATCCCAATTTATCTAACCCAGTGGAGAACAAATCACCATTATTTTTTAGTATAAGCATAGCTCCTTTTCTTTGTCCTTGATTTAAAGTATTTGCTCGTGTTAATTGTTCGATCAATTTGTCCAAGGATAATTCGGGTTGTGGGTCTTCTTCTTTGGTTGGAATTTCTTCCACATTAGTCAAATAAATTGCAGGGTTATCTACAACTTCGTAATGCTTAGGGGTCGAATTGTCTATTTCCGCTTCATCGGTGTGATAGCTTTCTACCTCCTCTAGGTCCTTTTCTTCCTCATAGAGATCAAAGAAATCGTTGTCTTCTTCCATTTTATCTTCGGGTGGCTCTTGTTTGTCTTCCTTGGCTTGGTATATTGGTACTTCTAGGCTTCGGCCTAGATACCTAATATGTAGTTTCTTCTCATCGAAGTGGAGGCGTGCTCGGACTTTTTGGAACCAATCTATTCCAAGGAGCATCATTTCTTCCGGGTTTTCTATAACCTGGAAGTCGGTAGGTACCAGGACACTTTGTAGGGCTAACTTTACTCCTTGTAGTTTTCCTAAGGCTCGCTCCCGGGCCCCACTGGCGGTAATAACGATAGTATTGGATGGTTCAGTGATGGTAAGGCCAAGTTTCCTTGCTAGTTTGATCGACATTATGCTGACCGCCGCACCGGAGTCTAGGACGGCTAAGATTGGGTTATTGTGAATCCTAACGTAACATTTAGCCGCCGTAGTTCGTTGAATATTTTTATTTTCAGCGAAATTGGTTAATTCAATAGTAGGAATTATAGGGCGTCGCAGAGCTTGGGCCAAATTCTGTCTTTGCCGGGGAACTTGGAGTAATTGTGCATACGTGGCATTTGCACGCTGACTTAAGAGGTCTTCAGCGATATTGTATGGCGATATCGAGTCTATGACTGAAAGACCTCGTTTACGCCTTACTTTGTTGGGCATCTCCGGCTGGGGTTGAACAGGGATCTGTATTGGGATATCTTCTTCCATAGGGGTTGGTTGGGGCATTTGGGGTGCTTGAGGCGTTTGGGGTACTACTTTAGGTTCCAAAGCCACTCTTTTCCTTAGTCGGTCGTTCCAATTTATTTCTTCTGGTCTTTCCGTGCGTTTTATAGCATACGCTTCATTTCCTAGGTCGTCATTGTCAATATCACATAAACTAACACTTCTATCAGTTAGGGTCGTCCTTGTAGAATTGATGGCAGGTGGTCTATAATTCTGACGTGGTTCAAAGAGGCAATTTCGAGCTATATGCCCTCTTTCCCCACAATTATAACATATAATTCCTTCATTTCTTCGGGGCGGAGGCTGTCGAGGCTGAGTTGGGTAGGCACTGCTTTGGGGCCGTACTGGATTAGATTCTATTCTAGCGGCCAAAGCAGTGGTCAATCGTTCACAATTTGCAGCCATCTGCTGCATTTTTTTTGTTAGATCATCAAAGGCCTGGTTGGTAGGTTCTTTTTTACTTCTGTTTTCATAGTATTGGCCGGCCTCTATTTTTCTGGCTTTTGCTATAGCTGCATCTAGTGTTTCGAAATCGTCAGCTGACATTAGTGCGGCTGTTTTACCATGGAGACCTCCCATGAACATCCTAACGACATATGTGGCCGGTATTTGGCGATCAGGGTCAACTCTTTTCCAAAGTTTCTTAAACTAGTATGCATATTTGTCCACTTTTTCTTTTTCTTGCTGATTTAACGTGGTTAATTCTAATTGCCACTGATGCTTCCGTTCTGGCGTGGCAAAATATTTTATAAATGACTGAACAAAGCTATCATCCGGGTTATCTTCATCGTCCCAGAAGAGAAGGTCCTCTTTTTGGTCGTTATACCAG